ATTTTTCGCCCAATATGTACGTCATGCCATCACACTAAGCATAATCAGATATCAAGATGGACCGAAGCCTCAAATCAAGTAGGGTCAAAACCCAATAGACAAGAGAATCAAGAACCATATTAAAAATGGCTTCCTAGTTCGTACTTAACATGGACAAGTTCCATAATTCAAGATGAACTACAAATCCAAAGTCAAGATGGCAAAAGATCCGAATCAAGAGGCATGCCAAGATGAGTGACAAAGTCACTGCCACAAGAAGGACAAAGTCCCATCAAGAATGCAAAATGATCAAACAATCCGTACGAATGGGCGATTTAGCAAATATCTTACAATACTTGATATAGTACGAATATAACAATATAAATTGAAGCCAAGAAAAATAAAATATCAAGTTATTTCAACATATTCCAGCAAGCAAAAAGAGTACAAGTTTATACACAAACCTTGGTGTTTTACCACGAAACAGTTCAATCACAACTTGGGGACGTTCGAATCGTCTACGCCGTAAACAAACCAAATCTGTCCACTTCCTCAAACACTTCCCCTTTGTTTTTTTTCAAGGGTTTATATACCTTAAATACATAATCAAGTATCTAAATAAGTTCAGTGATTTGGCAAGTCAAACTAAATATGATATTGGTGAAAATTACCCAAAAACGTTTGAAACAGAAATTCTGGACAGTATCACTGTTCCGAGTTGTGACTCAGTTTTGAAGATCTATACGGACAAAATAGACTTTATGGTCTTCACAAAAGTTGTAGATCTATGTCTTACCGTTTCAGAACATCTTGAATCACCTCCATATCAATTGTGAACAAAAAGTTATGCTAAAATTACTAACAACAGTACATGGAGTATTTCTAAAACTGGAAATCTGGACAGCACCTGCCCTGTACTTTCTGATCCTTTTTCAGGTAAATACCAACAAAACTAGATTTTGGTTCCTTCATAAAAGTTATAGATTTATGAAATACCTTTCCAGAAAGTCCTGGATCACTTAAATCGGAGCTCTGTACAAAAAGATATGTGGAAAATTCTAGTAGGTGTCTAGTATAAAAACTAGTTTAGAAATTTACCAAGAGGAGCAACTTGATCTTCACCAAAAACGAAATTTGCTTGTTGATTTAGTAGAAATCCATGTTTTTTTTTTCATGAAACTTCAGATTCTAGTTTCTACGGAGGAGAGAGAGAAAGAGATAGAGAGAAGGAGAGATAGATAGAAAGAGAGAGATGGATAGATATAAAATAAAATGGTTACCCAACTACTAAATATTCTTAGATAAATACAAAAGGTTGGAAACCAAAACCTAATTATATATTATATCTAATAACAACTAGTCAAAATAATATTAAGTGTTATATATAGCAACATCATGAAACTTCATTGTCAATATTAACACAACCTAAAGTAAGAAATTTTCATATATTGACCATTTCACATTTAGGAAGTGCAAAGTAAAATATTTCCTCGTTATAAAAATGCCCAATCAAGAATGCAAATATTATAAAAAATTTTGGGGTGTTACATCACAGATTCATAGTATTGATCATCTTCCATTTATATATTAAAAAAATATTAATCATCTTCCGTGTCCTCCCGAATATTCAGCTCAACTTCCCGGTTTGTTATTTAAGATCTTGTTATTTCGGATTGAGGAATTAGTGTGATTGATGGGCAATTTATGAGTGACTATTTCGATTCTATCCCTACCAGACGCACAATCGTAGTTCCTACTTTGGTACTGCCACAACAAATAGTGGTCATAGCCTAAGTTGCGCGGACTTTTTGATTTTGGTGTCGTTCCCGTCCCGATACGATACGGGGACGGGAGCGGGATACGTCCCGGATACGGTCAACTGACTTCGGACACTTTGACCGGAGTCCATTAACAAATTTGGGAGAAAAATTGAGATTTTGATTTCTCAAAATCAAAAATAAAACAGATTTAGGAGAATGAAAATAATGTCCATCTTGGAGAATGAAAGATTGAATTCTACAATATTCATGTAAGTTTTTCACAAAATATCTCTCAAAATTTACAATATTTTTATAGCTCTATTTTTTATTAACCGAATCCCCGCACCCGTATCTATATCCGGATTCGCACCTCCGAATCTTAAAATTTAAATTTTGCCGAATCCGATACTCGGATCCGTCCCTGTATCGGATACCCGCACCCGAGTCCGAGCAGCTTAGGTCATAGCTGAGCAGAAGAAATCATACCATTTTCATCTTTGACCAATGGTGAACAGGATGATTCTCTTGGCTATGCATCATATTTTGTCCTTGTTCCTGCCATTCAATGTTCCCCTTCTAATTTATAGGCTTTCAGTTGTACCTTCTTATCCTCTGGGATTTCAATGTAATTGAAGATTCTATCAACTCTATCAATCTAATCAAGAAACTCCTTAGTATGTAGATGCCCCTTAAAAGAAGGAAGATCAATCTTTAGCCGAAACTCTCCTCGGCAACTTTATTCTTGCCATTGACTTTCAATATCAAATGGATTACCATGATTATTATGTTATCTTGTGCAGAAATCTCCTTACTCCATAGCCAGCAGTACAAGTGTAATTCTTTCATAAACTAAGAACTATTATTTTGCAATGGCCTTCTGATAATGGATGTTTGTTGCTCATTTTAAATGTACTTACACTCCCGCCAATAACTTATCTTCCTTCCTTGCAGATTCCTGCAGAAGAATCAAAGTGCATTTTTCCTGTCCATGTACCATTCTGCGGAAGGTTTTGATGTGGCTGACAAGAAACAGGATAACTGAGTTGGAACTTTTCTTCTCTAGTGTACATTCTATATCACACCTACTATGTATATTCTCTGTTCTCCAATGCAGAACTATGTTGTATTACCAGGGATGTTACTAGTAAATTTTGCTGCATAGTAGCTCGCACATGTTTTCCTACTTATTGCCTGTGCAGTGGCTATTCCAGTGTTCTGGTTGTCCAGCTAAATCTTTTCTCTTGAAAACAGGTACTTATGTACCCTACTAACTTGTGTTACATATGGGAAAGAAATTTGCTCTGCAATAACTAATAGGAGGTGTCGACAATGTAAGGTGCATTGAGTTGTCTTTACATAAGACGGTATTTCCTATTTCATGGCATGACATCTTACGCTCATCCCTTTATTCCGTAAATTATGTATTAAGCTTATATTAAATAATCTATCTACTTTTACCATATCAAATAGTCTCGAAGTGTAATTACTTGTAAAAGGTAAATGCTGCACGATAGATTTTTTCTACAAGATGATTTTTTTTCCTTTTTGGTGATGTGGACTGCTAGATTGGAAAGTAGGTTGATAATGATGCCCATGAAGTTGTCATAAAGATGGCACGATTGGACACAACGAAACCTATTTTGCAGAATGGGCTAGAAGAGTCATTCATCAAGTTGGGTTAAGCAAGCTGGAGCAAGCCTTTGCTGATCAAGCAAAAAAGCAACAAAATGATTCAAAAGCATGTGTATCATAGCCTTCTAATAGCATTGAAGAGCACAATTAAGGGTAGACTTTGTAAGAGTTAAATCCGAATATATGCACTGTTTGCCGAACATCATCATCTGCAAAACAGGCTCTGCTGTTTAAACAAATGAAGTATGGAGCATCTTCCATCGACAATAATCAACTTTTTCCTAGGATAAGCAGACAATGATCATTGTCATTTGTCATATAGCAAGTAATAAAAAGAAAAAAAAAAGTGAAGAGAAAACGAGAAACTAATAACAATCCTCAGTGCTTCTAAAGATTAGGAAACTTTACACAAGAATAATATGTGGAGTTTCTACAGTTGCACCCTTGATGTCCCCAATCACAAAAAATTAACCACTGCGGCATTTGTATGATGCCTTGAATAGATGTGTTTCTCTCATCTTCATCAAGACTTGCACCAGAAACAGTAAAACAGCACAGAAGATCGCCCTTATCTCCGTGAAAACTTGGACAGCAAATATATCACAAAGAAGCAAAATAGTGCAAAAAGAATAACATGCATCACATGGTTTGATCCTTCCTGGATGATACTCCTGTTCAACCGTCTCATATTGTTCTTCACCCCTGCTTGAGCTTTGATCAATGTCATTTGCTGTGATAATGGGAAAAGTGTGAGCTTTTAAGGAAATATGGAAGTTATGTAACTTACAAGAATGATTCCATAATCAATAAAATAAGCATACATCATGAGAATCTCAGATAGACCGACCAACCAACACGTTTATAAACAATGCCACACTAAGTCTAGGAAAGTTTACTACTACTAACGGCTTGAAGCAATCTATTGCAGCAATTTGCTGAACGGGATAACTATTAGAAATACACCATTCAAATTTACAATCAGTTGAAAATATGCAGTGTATAGCCCACACAAATTACCCTTAAGAACAAAGAAAAAAGAGAAAAATGGAATCACGTTTGGGCTTATTATAAGATCTAACAAGGATGTATCTTTCAAATCACTAGAAAACCTATAAGAAAAGTATAGAGAGACAGAGACATTCAGGCAGGTTGGCATGGCAGTACGTAAGACAAACAAAGGCAATGAGTACACTTTCATTCCCAAAATATTTACAGTAATAACAATTGCAATTCCCAGCAACTATAGAGGGAGAGAGAGAGTTAGATTGTTATCCAGCCTAACGAACATAAATACCAAACAATCTCCAATATACAAAAACTTAATTGTTAAGGTATATAAATATATGGAAAAGTAACTAAAAAGGACTTACAGAATATCAAATACTTGGAAGAAAAGGAGAACAAGTTCATGGCATACCAGTTGGTTAATAAAATCATTCTGATATTTTGCTTCAGACTTAATTTCTTGGGCTACCTGCAGCATGAAATATTTATAAGTACTAGCAAAGGGTAAGTAGGAATAAAAATCTGAAACCCTGACAAAGATGAAACAACTAAGGCCAACAAATGAGATTGGAAAAGATGACCTATAAGGAACATATAGGGTGTGTTTGGTATGAAGGAAAAATGTTTTCCAATTTTCCTATGTTTGGTTGGCTTAAATGTTTTCGAAAATATTTTCCTTATAAACTCATTTTCCTCTAATTTTTTCCTTATTAAGAGAAGGGAAAACATTTTCCAAAACTCCTTCTCAACCTTCCCCACCCTAACCAACCTACCCCACCACCTCTCCAAAAAAAAGGTTTTTTTTTTTTTCAAANTAAGTTTATGTGTTTGGAAGTTTACGGGTTTAGAAATTATAAAGTTTACGGGTTCGAAATTCCGCGATTTCGAATGTTTATGAAATTTGTGGGTCCGGAAGGTTGTTGGTTTGAAAGTTTATGGCTTCATGTTTATTATATCTAAATTATTTACGAATACTCTTGAGAAGTCATTTTCCTTAATTTGCGTACCGAACACCGGAAAATGAATAAGATTACTACTTGTTATCCAAGAAAATATTTTCTTAGAAAACATTTTCCGTTATACCAAACACACCCATAGTATAAAAAGATATTCTGGACTCCTACACCAGGACTTACACCCAAAGAAATGTTCGACTAGAAATACAAAAGTTTAGTGCTGCTTCAAAATTCAGTCTAAGACATTGCAATTATTAACACATCTATGCAGCAGATGCATGTGGAGGTCAACAATTAGTGCCAGTGTCAGTGCCAGTGCTAGATACAAGAAAAAGGGACAGTGGGAGGTAGAGAGATGATGATGTCTTTGCTCTACTGCCGAAATATGCGAGTGACAATCAGACGGTTAATTTTCTTACCTTCTTCAAATAAGATCAAGTCAAGAAGTGATTGTTCCTAATAACTTATCCGGACAGCAACAGTTAGGCACACATCGAATCCAACTTAAACTGGAGACAGAGAAGTATCACACTAGCCATGTCTTTTAGTACCATTTGCAGCTTTTCGGTATTAGCGTGTGTCCCGGCATCAATGTACTTACTAGATAGCCGGGAGATCAAGAAGACTACATTGGCAGTCGGCTATGAAAAATGGGAAGTCGTAGTGCATCAGCAGAAGTAAAAGATATAACCTCAATGTCGAGCCCAAATTCAGAAATCAATATTTTTTGGGCCAAGTTGATTTAGACCATAAAAGAAGGGATTTAGGCTTGAGATTACTCCAAAGAGTGAGTTAACATTTTTTTCATAACAGTAGTGTGTGGGCTAACTTGTGCACACCTCAGCCATTTCACCGAGTGCCTGCTACCTCCAATTGGCACAAGTATTGGGTAACTCTACTTGCCACAGCTTAGACATATAGAAATAAATAACCTAGTGTTTTTGTGTCTCTGCAGGGACTAGAACCCTAGCTCCAAGGTTTGAACTCACTTCATTGACCACTAAGCGACAATCTTGGGTTGATTAACAACTTTAATTATCCAGTACGATACGAAAAATTAATGGTAAAAGTAAAATATACATTTCCATTCCCAATTCTAAGATGAAATCCTAAATTAAAGGATAGAGAGCAACATTCCTGAATGCAACATTGTGTGGTTTAGGTGAATCCCGAACGCAGTATTGTCATTACGCTTTTCGTTTGTTCGTGGAAGAGACTTCAACTATCTTCAACCTCTATGCCTAACAAGTTTCACAATGTTTTCTAAGAAATATTGTTGTCAGTGTCCCAACACAACACGTCACCTTATTTAAAATGGGTCCATGACATAACACATCACCAAATTTGACATGTACATACATATTAAAGATGCCACCGGTTATGCAAAAAAAATATCCTCCAACAAAAAGTACAAAATACTAAAATATAGAGTCAAAGACAAGGTGATAGGTAAACATACATTTCTAAGCTGTTTTACTTGCTTGCGAAGACCTGTAATCTCGTTATCTAGGTCCCCGTGCATCGGATCAATCCGCACCTGTATCTCATCTGAACCACCTACTTGCCTCGTACTCAATCCATCTCTGATCAATCAAACAACAAAAGAAAACAACTCAATTTCTCAAAAATTAACCCAAAAAGTGTATTTTTGTTAATTTTCTCCTAATTAGGTTATGCTTTTGGCATATTTTGTTATAGAACACTTCTCTATCACAATTCAAATCGTGCAAGCAATTAGAACCATAACAAATTATAATTTAAGAAGACCATAATTTTTTTCCCGTTTTTCATAGATACCTGGATCTGTGGGAAGCAGCACCATAGAAATCACCGCCTCTATGAGAACTAGAAGCCATTGAAAGAAAAAAACTGAAGGAACCTCGAAACCCTAGGTTCACGGAAAACTTTTAAAGTATCAATAAAATGGATTGAGAATTCAACACACCGAAAAATACTTCTGTGCTGCCAAAGATTGTCCAGTTTCTAAATTTTTTTTAAAACAGAAGTAGAATTTTGTGTTCAGTTAAGGTAGCTCTGAGTCACAGCTTGTTACCTTTTTCATTGATGTAAGGTGACGTTCCCAGGGCATGTCCACCGTTCGATTAGGGAATCTAACGGTGAAGGGCCGATTACTAATTTGCCAGGTAATGGGAGCTACACGCAGAATATAGATCCCACATGGATAGTAGCAGCTAACTATTGAGTTGCTTCGTTTCTTTAACCAATGACTTAATTCCACGTACGACCAAGCTGTGTGTGGGAGTGTAGATTGAAATTTTCGTTTTATGTTAGATGAGGTAGTTTGACTCGGTACGGATTTTAAAAAGAAATAAAAATTGAAATTTGTAGTGTTAAAAGCTTAAGGGGTAAAAGATTTGTAGGGCCATAATATTTGTATGGCTATAAAAGCTTCTTATTAAGGGTAAATGGGTAAAATAAAATAGTTTAAAGTTAAATTATTTTCAAATTTAGAAATATGTTATTTATTTTGGAATACACTACAAACTAAAGTACGAAAGGAGTAATAATTACTCATACCATCCAATTTTCTTTTGTTAGTAGTACTTCTTAATTTTAGGGTTGTTCACAGTTTGACGAAAAATTAATCCAAACCAAAAACTAAACCAATCCAATTAAGTAAACCGACTTAGTTTTTGATTTGAATTGGTTTTGATTTCAAATTTTAGAAATCGATAACATTTGATTTGGTTTTGGTTCCATTATAAAAAACCAAAAAAGAAACCGAATCAAACTAATAAATTATTAAAAAAATTAATAAATATTTATATATATG